TGCGCGTCGACCACCTCAATCACGTCCACCACCCGCACCTGAACGGGCACGGCCAACATAAGGCCTAAAGCGCCGTACATTCACATGAACAGCCATTTGATGAAAAGCGGAGCGCAGCACGCCCGTGCCCCTCTTCCACACACTCACACGATTTTTACGCCAAAATGTAACACCACCTTGTGATTTTTGGGTCAAAATCGTCCCGATTTCATAATGTTCGTTCGTACGTGCATCCGCGGCGCCCAGCGCGGTGCCAGCGGCTCCCATACCTCTAAGAAGGTGGGGGACGACAGTCGTGGCCTTGTTTTGGACGTTACGTGCCGCCGAAACTTGATCACCGATCACCGTCTGAATAGATAAGTCCTAGGAAACTCTCCAAAGGCCGGTGATCGGTGACCAGGTGATCGGCCGGTGATCATGCAGCTAGTGGGTGGTGCTCCGGCCACCGTAAGGACGGTCAGGCTACGGTCAGGAAGTAGGTTTGAGTTCACACTCTCCAACACTTAAAATCCCCGTTTGTCGATAAGCGATAACGGATAAGGCAATTCAACACGAATGGTTAGTTACTGCTCGCTGCTCGGCCATGCGGTAGCGTCTGGTGATGCCGCCCCTGCGCGGCTCGCTCGGCAGCAACTGCGCCGCGCAGCGCAGGTTCGAGGGTCGCGGTGAGTGGGTGCACCGGAAGACGTAGCGGTCGAGAAAGCGCTCAGCGACCGCGTCTCGAGGATGGAGCCGTCGCGCGGACCCGACCGGCCGACCGGCAGTAGCAGCAGGCGCCGGAGGGCGCGGGAGGCAGCGGCGACACCTCGGGCCAGAAGCGCGAGCCCTAGGCTGGTGAGGGGGGCCGCTCATGGGTAAACGGCTCTGGGACTTAGCTAAATCGCGCATCGAAATCGGGACGATTTTGCCAGGGCACCGTCACAAGGTGAATACAGTACGTACACGCTAGATTTTACTCATGACGCTCGACCGCTCCTCGCGCCACAACGCGAAGACGCAGATCGCAGCATAGAGGCCGACCGCCGCGACTCGCAGCGCGCCTGCCCACCCTGGCGCACAGGAGCCAGCCTCCCGCAGGCGGAGCAGTCGGCTCGCACCGGCGCCGCCGCCCCCGCGGCATTGGGTCGGCGAGGGGTCGGCGAGCAGCGGCAAGCTCTCCTCGTCGCACTCGCCGCACATGAGTGGCGCCGCCCCCGCCCCCTCCTCCCGACCGGCATGGCCCGAGTCGCGCGCCGTCCACGGCAGAGCCCACAGCTCCGCGCCGGAGAGGCGGTCGTCGGGCGAGACGCAGAGCGTGCCTGTCCACAGAGAGACGCGTCAACACGCGCCGGGCACCGAGGAGGGTCGTCGTCGGGTGCAACGTGCCGTGGACAATCTCGACAACCTCCCGCGCCACTCCGTGGGGGAGCGGCGCGTACCTGAAGGGAATGAGTCACTCCGTGCTCGCACCTCCCCGCGCTCTTCCGTGTCGGGCGGCGGCGCGGCACCGTCCGGCGGCGGCCGCAGCGATGAGCTGGTCGAGCGAGGCGGAGGGGAAGGGGAGCGCACCGCAGGCCATCTCGTACCTGCGCACGCGCCGGCGGGTGAAGAGGCGCCGGTCACGGGAGGGAGGGCACGCCGCACGCCCTCGCACAGGAGGACGCCGAGCGACCAGACGTCGCTCGCGGGGCCGAGGGCGCGCCGCCCGTCGACCGAGTCGCGGCAGTAGCCGGTCAGCCGCTCCTACAGGACGGCCTCGAGACCTCGGGGCTCCACGGGAGAGGGGCGGCGGCAGCCGGCCAGCCGCTCCGGAGGTGCGTACGCCGGTGTGCCGACGCAGCACTCCTCTGGCCTGCGGCGGGAGGGCGGCGGGAGGGCGGCGGGAGGGCGGCGGGAGGGCGGCGGGAGGGCGGCGGGTGAGGCGTCGGGCACAGCCCTCCTCCGGCGGAGTCCGCTCTCGCCTCGCTCCGACGCTGCGCGCGAGGCCCCAGTCGGTGAGGACCGCCCGGTCGAGCCGCGCGGAGAGGCGCACCTGTTCACACCTGCAGCTGTGAAGAGACGCCCTCTCCGCGGCCGCGCGCCGCGCAGAGAGGGTGCGCGTTTGCGGGCTTGAGGTCGCAGTGCACGAAGCCGCGAGAGTGCGCGTGTCGCAAGCCGGCGAGGAGGTCGCGAAAGACGAGCCGGGTGGTGTGGAGCGGCAGCCTGCCCCCGGGCGCGCGCTGCAGCAGCTGGGTGAGCTCGGGCCCGCCAACCTCCTCCATGACGATGTAGTGCGCGTCGACCACCTCAATCACGTCCACCACCCGCACCTGAACGGGCACGGCCATGTCAATCACGTGTGTCCGCGGCGCGCGCCATCGCCCTCCCCCTCCTCCCCCTCCCACCCACGCGCACCACGTTCCCGTGCCGCAGCTGCGTGAGCACGTGCACCTCCCACGCGATCTCCGCCTCGCTCGGCGCACAGCCGCCACCCGCGCCGCCGCCGCCGCCGCCGCCGCTGCGGCCGCCGCCGCCGCCGCGCTTGATCACCTTGACCGCCAGCCCCATTCGCCCCTCGTGCTCCGCCAGCCCCATCCGCCCGGGCGAGCCCACTTGCTCGCCGCCGGCCGCCGCCCTCTCTCCGCCGGCGGAGCTGCTGCCCGCGCTGTCCCCCGGCTCGGCCCCCGGCTCGGCGCGCACGACGATGGACGTGCCGCCCTCGCCGATGGTGTCTCCTACAGGGAGGCGCGAGGACGAGGCTCCGAGAAGGCTCGGACACGCTCCACTGCCCGGCCGGCTGCGGGGTCGCCCAGATCGAGCACGCTCCTCGCCTCGCCCCTCGCCTCGCCGCTCCACTCGCTGGTCCGGACGGCGGCGAGCATCGCCGCGGCGCGCAGCCTCCACTCCTTTCGCACCGCCAACGAGCCGAGCGGCGCCGCGAGCGAAGCGACCGTCTGGTCGGAAAACCACTCGAGCTCGCCCGCTGTCTCGTACCGCAGCCGCCCCTGCGAGGCGGGGGAGTGGAGGGTGGAGGCGGCGACGTGCAAGGAGAGGAGCACCGTGAGGAGGCGCGAGAGAGCAGCCACGCCTGCGAGGCCAGCTCCTGCATCGCGTCGGCCAGCGTGCAGTACGGCGCGCGCGCGAGGAGACTCTTGAGCACGTCGAAGAGCGCCGGCCGGATCAGGTACGCGCCTGCCTCGAGCGCGTCGAAGGCGCCGAGCTTGCCTGGCGTGTGCGACGTGGATGCGTGAGATGGTGAGATGGTCCTGGACGCGTCCAGCGCCGAAGGCGCCGAGAGCGCACCTCCGATCCGAGCGACGCGGCCGTCGGAGCCCTTGAGCGCCTTGACGAGCGAGTGGCAATGTACGCCGTTCTTGCAGTGGATCGAGCAGTGCTCCTCGCTCGCCCAGCGGCACAGGTCCGGGTCGTCATCGATGAGGACCGTCGCGACCGTCCCCTCAGTCGCGGGCACGTTTGCGAGCCGCCACAGCAGGCGGCTGTCGTAGAGGTGGTCCGACATGACGACGAGGAGGGGCTCGTGTGGCGCAAACATGGACCGCGCGGTCAGCATGTTTGACGCATGGCCTCGCTTCCACGAACTTTCCTTGAGCACAACAAACTCGACCCGCATGGAGCCGAAGCAGCGACGGCCGAGCTCCGCACGGAGCTTGTGTGCCGCGTTGCCGAGAGTGACGACGACCCTCTCGATGCCCGCCACCTGCAGCCCCAGCAGCAGGTGGACTATCACCGACGTGCCGTCCACTCGGATGAGCTGCTTCGGATTTGCGTACGAGTCCAGCGTCGACAGGCGTGCCGCGGCCGGCACGAGCGCCTGTCGGACCCGCGGCGCGCGGCGAGCGGACATCGGCGGAGAGCTGGCTGGCGCCGGCTGCTGCAGCGGCGTCGGCTGCAGCGGCGTCGGCTGCAGCGGCGTCGGCTGATCGGCCGGCGGCAGCTGCGGCGGCGGCGGCAGCTGCGGCGGCGGCGGCTGCAGCGGCGGCGGCGGCTGCAGCCTTTCAGTCGGTGATGGTTCCACTTCCTTCGAAGAACCGTGTTTCTTTCGGACCCCCCCCCCCCCGGGAGGGCGCGGGTTGTGGCGCGGCCGAGAGGAAGCGGAAGGGAGGGTGGGGCTGAGGGGGGCGGTGGAGGATCCGCAGCGATCGACGGCTGCGACCCGCCCTCACGCGTGCGGCGCAGGCAGCCTCACCATTTGCTGCTGCGAAGACGCGAGCCAGCAAAAGAGAAACCGGTGTGGGCCACCTCGGGAGGTGTGCACGGTGGTGGGCTAGCGCTCGCTGTCCGCCGCTAACATACCACGTACGACTGTGGACTGTGAGGTGGAGATTTGGGCTCGGAAGCGAGGGCAGATGCGATTGGCACCCGACTGCGAGAGTCTCGACTAGAGCCTCGTCAGTGCGTGGGCCGGCTTCAGAGTGTGGGTGAAGGCGACGAGCGACGTGCCGAGCAGCCAAACCTAGAGCCAAACAAAAGTACTTATTGCTCTGGTACACTGGCTGCGGCCCAGCTCGGCCCTCGGCGAGGGCCCGAGGCCCCGCAATGTCCAATGAGGCAAAGACGACGAGGCCAAGTCTCTATCCATTTGACACCCACCTCTCTCACGGGCACGACACGGGCGGGTGTGGACTGACTGGGCGCACACTAGCACAGGCATCAGTACACACATGCAATAAGAAAAAATGTTGAAGAATGAAGAAAACTTCCCCTTTTTGAATTCACGCAATATATTAATTGAGAAGAAAATACCTCCCATGGCGCTTCACACATCATTTTCAGTGAACGTACTTTTAGCTTACTGGGAGAAAAGGGAGAAGGGGGTTGTGTTCTCTAGGCCCCTTTATTTAAGGGCCCTACGCGCGGCGTGAGAGCTCGGAAGCGAGCTTTGCACGGCGATCGAGGAGGGGAGGATGGCTCTCTCTCTCTCAGTGTATGTGGCTCTTACGTACATTCCCAAAGGTGGACATTTTTAAGATCGCGTACTCGTACGTTCATTCACTTCCATTCGTTACGCGCGGCGCGATCCCATGGACGCCTTTTGGTCGGGCATCGCCAGCTCCACGCGCGTGCGCGGCGGCGAAGGCGCGGCGGGAGATGGGCGACGCCCGGCCTCCGCGCCTCTGGACGCCCAGTCGGAGCCCGATTCTAGCGACTCGGACGAGGACGGCTTCGATCCCGACTTTGCCGCGTCGACGGGCGTGCGGAGGTACCTCGAGGCGTGTCAGCGCGAGGGCGTTGTGCCGGTGCAGCAGCTCGTCGCGACGCTCGACCAGGAGAGCGTCTTCCTGGCCCACCGCGGCATCGGCCCGAGGGGCGGCCGACCCCTGTTCGAGTGCCTGCTCCAGAACCGCCACATCACCGCGCTCGACATCAGCGACAACGCGCTCGGTGGGAGGACGGGCAGCGGTACGTGCATCGCCAGCCTGTGCGAGGCCCTCCGCGCCTCGAAACAGCTCGCCAGTCTCGACCTCGGCCACAACCGGCTCGGCGCCAAGGGCTGTGAAGCGGTAGCCGCCGCCGTCGCGGGCGCTGTATCGCTGACCGACCTCTCCATCCGCGGCAACGCGGTTGGCGATCGAGGCGCGCAGGCGCTCGTTCAGGCAATCCGCCCGCCCGCAAAGCTCGAGAGCCTCGACCTCAGCGACAACGGCCTCGGCGACGCAGCCGCGCCGGCGCTGGCAGACTTGTTGCTCGCAACGACGCCGCTGCGGATGCTCGACGTGTCGTGGAATGCGTTCGGCCCAGGTGGGGCCGTGGTGGTGGCCGAGGCGCTGCAGACATCTTCCCTCTCTCGCTTCAGCCTCGCATGGAACGGGATTGGCGATCGCGGCGCCGTGGCGCTCGGCCAAGCTCTGTCTGTCAACGCTTCTCTCGAGTTCCTAGACGCGTCGTCCAATCGCGTCGGCACGAGCGGCGCGGTGGCGATCGCCGAGTCGCTGGGCAGTAACACGTCGCTCCGCTCCCTTCAGCTCAACGGCAACCCGCTCGGCGAGGAGGGTGCGCTCGCGTTGGTCGAGGCCATCGGCCGCACTACCTCTGTGCGCGACCTCGGGCTCAAGGACTCGCTCACCGTCACGCTCACTAGCAAGCGGCACTGCAAGGCGAGCAAGTCGGGGACGGGCATCTTCGACCCGCTCAACCCGACGGGCTCGTACGGGCTCGATCTCGCCGCGCCGCCCGACCGCGAGGTACTGGAGCGACTGCTCGAGGCGGACCGCATGGACGAGGCCTCCGGCATCGACAACTTTCGGAATGTCGTGTACGAGGGCCGGGCCGTCGGCTTCCCCGACGGGGAGGACATCCAAGACTGGCCGATTCCCGAGCGCGGCGTGCTCACCTTTGACTACGTCTCGGGCAAGAAGCTCCCGGGTGGCGCGCATCCGATACGCGAGGAGGCCCTCACCTCCTTTTTGCGCTCCTTCAGCAGCCCGGCGCTCTCCGAGCCAACCAAGCTGACCATGCTGCGCACAGCGGCGACCACACACTACTACCGCGCGGCGCAAGCGCGGCGCATCATCTCCCATCTCTCCTTCCCGCGGCGCGCGGACGCCGCCGTGATGCTCTTCCGGCGCATCGTCGACCTGGGGCGCTTTGTGGACGAGGTGTACAGGCCGCTGACAACGGTGGAGAAGAGGGCGCTGAGGGAGCGCTTGGGGGAGGCGCTTGCACCGCTGCTGCCGCCCGAGGAGGAGCAGGCCGAGCTGCTGGCATCGGAGGCGGCCGAGGTGGCCGCATGCGACGAGGCGCCCAAGCGGCGGGCCGAACCGCCATGCGCAGTCGAGGCGCCATCCACCCTCGAAGAGGCACGGCAGGAGCACGCGGATCCTCACCCGAGCGGAACGGATGCAGCAGACGAGGAGCACGCCGATGTCGGGCAGGGGGCGGCTGAGTCGCCAAAGACCGAGGAGGAGCCGCCGCCGGCAGCGCCAGCGTCAAGGGCAGCCGAGACGCCCGAGATGCCGTCGGGCGATGGGGAGCAGGAGGAGGCCGATCTGACGTCGCCAGAGGCGCTGGAGGGGGGAGAGGTGGGAGCGGCCATTGCGCCGGCGGCGGGGCCAGCGGGGGCAGCGTCAAGCATGCCGTCGAGGCAAGGCGACGACGAGCAGACGAGGCTAAGCGACGATGATGAAGTTGAGGACATCTCACCGCCGCAGCCGCTGCTGGGCGACACTGCCGCCGTGCCGCGACCGAGCTCAACGTCATCCAAAGGGGTGGGTCCCTTTTCCGAGCGAGATGGGTAACATTTGAGCAGAGAGAAGGTGAGGAATTGCAGTGTATTGGGGCTTGCAGATTTTCTCTTACTCGGGACTGACTGTTTGCTGAGACAAGGCTTCGACAAGAGTGTGGGGGGGCTCGCATATATTCCATACAGTGGGTTGCGGGCATTAAGAAAACAGGATTTCGCGGCACGCCGCCGTTTCTAAGCCTTTCCACACCCCTCACCCACCCCACGCCGTGGTTTCTTAGCTCCCGCAAACAAAGCTCAAAGGTAGGTCAAAGGACAAAGGTCAGAGCCGGCCCCCTCGTCGGAAGAGGTGAGCTGCGGTCCCGGACGGATCCGATGCCGCCAGCCAGTCTGCCACCGACTCAAGACGCACACGCATCCATCCACTCGCTCAAAACACCGCAGAGGACTTGTAAAATGCCAAGTGCGCGCGCCGCGCAGGCGAAGAGAAATTTTGAGCTCGGAGCTCCTGTTCACACTCGTGTCTGGCCTTTTCTCGGAGCCGCGCCTGTGGCGCGCCGTGGTTTCTTAGATTTTTGCGGAAATCGCTCGGCGTGGTTTCTTAATGCCACGCTTTCTTAATGCCCGCAACCCACTGTAACCATTATACAGGTGTGTTGATCTGTGTTGTGATGCTCAGCCTCGCCGCGCTGGGCCGCAGCACTTTTGGCTGCTGGTGTCGGCGGTCGGCACGTCGGTCGTCGCCTTCACCCCGCACTCTGATCTCTGAAGCCGGCGGCCGCCGCCTCCCCCACGGGCACGGCGCACGGGCACGGCCACGCACGGACAAGACTCTCGCAGTCGGGTGCCAATCGCATCTGCCCTCGCTTCCGAGCCCAAATCTCCACCTCACAGTCCACAGTCGTACGTGGTATGTTAGCGGCGGACAGCGAGCGCTAGCCCACCACCGTGCACACCTCCCGAGGTGGGCCACGCCGGTTTCTCTTTTGCTGGCTCGCGTCTTCGCAGCAGCAAATGGTGAGGCTGCCTGCGCCGCACGCGTGAGGGCGGGTCGCAGCCGTCGATCGCTGCGGATCCTCCACCGCCCCCCTCAGCCCCACCCTCCCTTCCGCTTCCTCCGCGCGCCGCGCCACAACCCGCGCCCCGCCAGCGAGGGCCGTCCCTGACGGCGGGACCCACCTGGGCGCGCAGGTCGTCAAGACCGACGTCTGCGCGTACAGCGGCCTGCGGATCTACCCGGGCCACGGCATCTTCTACGTGCGTGCGGATCAAAAGAGCTTCAAGTTCATCAACCGCAAGAGCAAGTCGCAGTTTCTGCAGCGCCTGAACCCGCGCAAGATCGCGTGGACGCAGCTGTACCGCCGGATGCACAAGAAGGGCACGATGGAGGAGTCGACGCGCAAGAAGGCGCGCGCGCGCCCCGCTCGCTTCTCGCCGCGCTAGGCGAGGGCGGACGCGGCCTCGGCGAGCCGGGCGGCGGCGCTGCTGCAGAGGAGGGTGGGAAGGAGGGGTGGCGCGAACGCGCGGGTGGCAGCGCTCAGACGGCGGCTCGGGTCGTCCCAGGCCGGGCTGGAGGCCGCACCTGCTGGAGCGCCGTGGCGGCTACGCGCTTCGCGCCGCGCCCTCTGCGCGCGCGCGGGGTCCCCTTTGCGGTAGCGGACCCGCGGGAGGGTCCGTCCGCAGCCCTGGGCGCTGACCCGCGCTCTGGCACCTGTGTCCGCAGACGCGCAAGGTGAGCAAGACGACGAACAAGGCGGTGGTCGGCATGACTCTGGACGTCATCAAGGCGAAGCGGAGCCAAAAGCCGGAGGTGCGCGCGGCCGCGCGTGAGGCTGCGCTGCGCGAGATCAAGGAGCGCAACAAGGCCAAGCAGGCCGCGAAGAAGGCGGAGCAAAAGTGCGGCCCCGCTAGATGCACACGCACGGGCGGTCGTCGCCGCCAGCGGGGGATGGGGGAATGGGCGTGAGGCCGAGGCCGTCGGCTTGGGGCGGGGGCTTTACGTGCCGGGGTTCCCGCGCCCCGGCTACTCCCCATATCCGGGTCTCCCAATGGGGCTCGCCTCGTGCGACCCCCCTGGGCTTGGTGGCCCGCCCCCTTGACGCGGGGGCCCCTGCGC